CAGTCACCTACACTACCATACTATCAGTCACCTACACTACCATACTATCAGTCACCTACACCTACTATTAATCACACTACCACCACCATCACTTGGTCCACACAACACACCACCACCATATCTTGCACAAGATGTGTCTGTATACTCACTTGCATGTAGGTAGTTTGGTCCCTCCGCCATCATCACATGTTCCATTATTCAAACAGGTTCCAGAAAAACATTGAAAGGCGTCTAAAAACCAAAATAACACAACATTAATAACAGATAATACAATCACACCACAAAGGGCTTAAATTATACAGGTATTTAAATTCTCAAGAGACTATCCCAATACTAATAATGATTTTGTGATAGCAAAAATAATGCATACTTGATTTTGTCATAGCAGAAAAAATTGCAAGGGAGAAAAGCACAAAATACAGAAAAAAATACAGAAAAAAATGATAGGAGAAAAAAAAAGACAGGAGAAAAAATGTGAGCAACAGAATATAGAAAATAAAAATAAAAAAGGAAAAAAACTTCTCCTAACAATTTATTTAACATTTCAATAGAATACATTTTCCCTTGCATTTTTAATACAATCATTTAAAACCAGTACCAAAAAAAGTGATTATAATATCTTACTGTTTTAAAAAAATAAGAGCAAAAAAATGTTTTTAACGGTAAAAATATTGCTCTAAACCATTTCTGTAAATTTTTCATACATTTAAAAAAAACCAATTACAACACAATTGATTTAGCAATTACAATTTCTTATTCACTTTGTTTTAGTGAATTTTCAAAGAAAGAAGTGCAAATAATATGGGGCAGGGAAATAATTTTCTTTGATTATGATTGTGTATTATATTTACTTAATAAAAATGGAAATTTCTATTCTATCATTAATTAGCATCCTGTGAGTACAGATTGTAAAATATATATAAATTTGGAAAAAGACCTACACATCTTTCTTCCTTGTAACTTCAGTAATAAAGCATGTTTTCTTTTACGATGAGAAATATGAAGTTGCATCTAATTTAAAACTGTTTTATGTGTGTGTGTTTTGAAAAGCTAAAATCTTAACACCATCAGTCTATTCTTTATACTTTAAAATAGAAATAAAAATAGACAATAAAGATACAAAAATATACTAGTTTTGACAGAGAAATTAGACAATACAACAATCAAAAATACTTTTCCATCCAGAATCTTACCAGATACATGGCTGCCAGATAAAAGGATTACAAATAGCAACATTATATCACAGAAAAGGGGACACAGCTTTATTTCTTGGCTGTGCACTGGTGTTTTAAGAAGTACTGTCTGAGTAAACAAACAGGTTACCTGAAGTGTTGCAGGTTTTGCCATCATTCAACAGGTCTATTCCAGCTGGGCAGTGACAAGTGTGGGTTTTGGGTCTTGGAGCCAACAGACAGATATGACTGCATCCACCATTGTTATTACTGCACGGATCTATTAACAATAAAATGTTATAACTATTTAAACATCTACAAAGAATATGGAATATATAAATGACCCCAAGCTTTATGTCTGCCAAACCACAAGTAGAAACAAACATTTAAGAGTTACTTTATTTAGAATTTGAAGTTCAGAACGAAAGGAATTAAGGTACATGCATTGCAGGAAAAYAGTGTAAGCTAGAGTCACTTGCTTTTCTAACAACCAAAAGGTTTAGCAATGCAAAATAACTGAGTAATAGAAGTTTTAAATTAACTGAAGATAGCATGCAGACAGACAGACAGGAAGGCAGACAGACAGACAGGCAGATGGACAGACAGACAGACAGACAGGCAAACTGCAGTGACATGAGGTGGGGGGGGAAATGCATTGTTTCATCTTGGTAGTGAATTAGTTATTCCGAGGTTGAGGAAAAACTGGGTTGAGTTGTGCATGTGGTACTGTCTTATGAGATATTTTGTCCCTTCAAACAGTCCTACAATGCAATACGATGCTGGCCAACTTGAGTTTTTTCCTCAACCTTAGAATGGCCAATATACTGTGGAATTTATGGAGACACATTGAACACATTGACTTACTTTGATTGTTTTTAATAGGCTGTCGTTGCTGGTGGTATACGTGGATATCCATTGGAGAGAAGAGTCCATCCCGTACCACTGCCCTGTCCTCTCCAGTAAACTTATTAGCCACATAGATACACTCCTTCACCCAATCTGTCCAAAACATCTTGTCTTGGAATACAGTGATTGARAAGGGATGGTGGACATTCTCACTGAGAATCACTCTTCTGTTGGTCCCATCRAGGTCTGCTGATTCTATGGTGTGGACCTTAGCATCTGCCCATATGATCTTATCATTGGTATAGTCAACGGTAAGGGCATTAGGCCAGAGGATATTGGTAGTTACTAGAGCAAGCCTGGTCTTTGGGTCGCCATTCATGCCACATCTTTCTATCTTGGGTGAAACACCCCAATCTGACCAAAACATATACCTGAAAGAACATTATACATCACTGAGTAAAACAACACAGTATTATGTTGGCAGGTGGAAGTCTACCCAGTTAGCTCAGTTGGTAAGAGCATTGGTCTATTGAGCAGGAGATCATGTTTTGCGTCCTGGTCATACCAACACTCAGGGTCTTAAAGTAACTAAAGAAAAGGTTCTGCCTTTGTAATTACTTMTGCAAATGGTTAGACCTTCAAGTGGCTTGGTCATATCCCTAATCAACTACAGACATTAAAAGAGGACCACAAGTTTATCAGTTGAATTACTGTCACATGTTATCCTCTGTGAACAAAGTTGATGTAAAGGAATAATGTAAACACTAATTATGTAAAATGCTGATTCAAATTAGTTAGAATTTAGTTAGGTTTTCTAACAAGACTTAAAACTGTCTGTTTTATTGCATGTCCTACAATCCTGTAAGCAATCATTAACATATTATGAATACTCTGAAACAACATCGTGGCATTCTACCAGCTCACTAGATACACCATGCTGACAAGGCCCAATACAGGCCGAAACTGCTGTCCATGGTTTCTAGTTGAGCTGGCTCATTTTTTACGTGACTTGAAGTTGTGAAAGGCCCATTRGYCCTCTTCTTCAGTCGTTTCAYACAAGGCTCGTAATTTACCTATTACGCATGTTCTTATATGCCCATCCCACACRGCTTACTGCCTCATCTCTCAACATCTGTGCTGATTAAAGCCAGGGCATGACGAGCTTACAGGTCAAATTGGAATTTAGCTTGTGGAATTTACAGGGTGAGAAACTAAATCTTCCATCTACATTGTAGGAATACCCAAAAACTCCTTACATAGGATGCCAAGTCCAGGAATCAAATCTAAGATCTCAAATGAGAGGTGAGTGCACTATTCCTATACCACCATTGTTTTCCCATTTCAGACCATGTGTCATTCCCTAGAGTATTACTTCTTTGTTTAATGGTTGCACATGAGTAGACAAGAATATGGATACTGCTCAAWYAAAGAATCTTATTCTGAAGAGAGTAACATGTGGTCTAAAATGGGCAAAACATTATGCYCAAGTGGATTCAGTCCATTCCCAGCTCAGCTATATTCCTAAATTYCACAAGAYTATTTTTACGAAAACACCCTTTTGGAAAAGAATTTAAAGCTTCCAYATATTATTCTACTACATATTACTCTACAAAATTATTACATATTATGCTACATCTACTAACCGAATAGCTGGATAAACAACAATAGCTCTTGGTTCATTCAATCCTTTGTCCACAAGTTTTAGCCGGTTTCTACCATCCATATCAGCCACTTCAATCAAGTCTGTACCAGTGTCAGTCCAGTAGATCTTTCTATTCAACCAGTCAATGGCAATTCCATCTGGTGTATGGAGTGACTCATTGATGATCGTCTTCTGTGCAGACCCGTTGTTCAGGGGTGCAGACTGAATGCTTTCTTTGATGACATCGGTCCAGAATAMTGTACTTGTGTGATAGTCATAGTCCAGGGCTATGGCAGCTCGTTGTCGAGGAACTATTTCATTGTAGTCTGAAGAGTCTATCATTATGCGACGGATGTCCTGGCGATTGGTGAAAAGCAAGAAGGCTTGAGGTCCTATGAACAAAAACAAAAAAGAAAATTAACAAGTTGATACAATCACTATCAAAATATTTTCTGTTAACTTCCAAAGGGGTTGCATGGTTGCTGCGCCCAAATTTGAAGGGTTTAAACATTTGGAACAGAGAAAGAATTAAAAACAGGAATATTAGAACTGTTAGTAGTATTCAATAAGAAAATAAGGAAGAAATATAACATTAACAAGGTTGAATTCTCACCAAGTGCCTTGCAAGTCTTTCCATTGGGTTCTTTGACATATCCATCAATACARGAACATTTAAAGCTACCTTTGGTGTTCTCACAAATCTGGCTGCAAGCTCCTGGAGTGTTGCACTCATTGTCATCTAAAACTAAACACAAAACAACATTATTACCAACACAATATGATAAAAAAGCAGTGTCAAAAGCATAAAACGCCCTCAAAAACCCTTAAAAAATCAACATATGAGTTGAGTGTTTTGTGTTGTCAATCATCAATGTTATGGTACCGCGTGGATTAAGCCTCACTGAAGGAAGTTAAATTAACTCTACATATATTACTACTGTAGCTTAGAATATAAAACACAATGATTTTTTTTGCAGCAATAAAAAACTTTGTGCAAAGAGACAAAAAAAAACGTTTTCTAACAATTGTCTGTTAGTAAAGGAAACTACTTACCTCTGCAGAGTTTGGGGTCCTGCAGATCCTTACTGTATCCAGTGCGACAGGAACAGGTGAATCCTATCTTAGTATCATTACAGAAATGATGACACTGTCCATTATGATCTAGACACTCATTGATATCTGGTGATATAACAGTAGGAGTGTGGGATGAGAATTAAAAACAACCTTCAATATACCATCAATGGTTCACAAAATCTATTAATGATGCATAAATAATCAGTATTTTATTTGGTTATTGCTGTAAACTGCAAGAAACTTAGTTGATTAAATAAAAACTTACAGCAGCTACTTGGCTCATCTTCTCCTTTATCACAGTCTTTTGTCCAGTCACATACATTACTGTAATCAATGCATTTTGTGGTTTGACCACATTGGAACTGATCCTTTGGACATACACTAGGTGTTGGGACAGCTGAGGAATGGAAGAAGTAAGTTATTAGCAAACYAAACCTAACAGAACCACTGAAGTTTACTTGTTTAAAAAACAATATAAAATCTTTGTAGGAAAAATTACCGGCAAGTTCAATACAGAGAATTAGAAAATAGAAAAATGAAGGAAAAAGGTAAAAAAAAAAATTCTTAAAATTTTTTTCTGTGACCATTTTTCATAATGAATCGGTGTCCCATGCTTTTTCTAGTAGCAAAAAATTCTAAAGATTTTAAAGTAAACTTTTTTTGAAATAGCCAAGTTTTCATATCACTGGGATTTTCAGAAATCCTGTTTGTATACTTACGACATCCTTTTTCATCTGAATTATCCAGACAATCATTTTTGCCATCACATTTTTTGTTGAGGGACACACATCTGCGATTATCACAAGTGTATTGACTGACATGGGGACATGACTGTGATGCTGAAAAAATAAAATTAAAACCAACAAATTTGTTATGACTTTATCTGTTATCTGAATCAGTGCATCACAAAGAAAACAGTGATAATGTTGTACAGGTTTGTTACTATTCTTTATTTGCAAATTTTGAAGAAATTATTGACTACTTTTTTATTGAATTATWTTTTTWAATTTAACCCTCCCCCCCACCCCATAAAAGACMAAAAACAACAAAAAGSAAMCAAAGAATCATTGAGAATACTTACTGCATTGTCTYTCATCAGAACCGTTCTTGCAATCATTCTCTCCATCACAAACCCAGCTCTTATGGATGCACTCTCCTGTGTCRCACTGATGCTCAGTTTTCTTGCAATAGTTAGATCCATGTGGACAGCCGATCTCATCTGAGTTATCAGTGCAATCATTATCCCCGTCACATCTCCAGTCTCTCAGGATGCAGTGTTTGTTAGCACATGTAAACTCATTTGCTCTACAGCTATGTGGGGCTGTGAAAAAAAAAACAATTAACTGTCAAACTTGAATGATTAAGCAATTTTAATAGCATACAATTGAGCTAGAAGTTGAAATGGGCTAAATATCATGTGCCCTTGGTAATTTCTAGTCTTATGTGTTAACCACTAAACTTCAAGGACCAATACTGCACCAACAACACAGCTAACACAAACAGACAATCAAGTATAGGGCTTGCAACTGTTGTGGTCCCAAGCTGATATTTTTTGCTGATTAACCTGGAGAAAGTCCTTATATCAAGAGATCTAACAAACTCTACTCATGCGTCATACTAGAGTGCACTAATGYTATGCTACCCTTGATTCGTAAGGGCACATGGAAACAAATATCTAGTACTTACGACAATGTAGTTCATCAGATCCATCRCCACAGTCATTATCTTGATCACAGACCCAACTCCTGGAGATACACTTCTTATTGTTGCAAGTAAACTCATTACTAGGGCATGTCTTGTTGCCTAAAGAGATGTTCCCTACAGGTGAGCCATCAAGATGTGCAGAAAAAATACCAAGCACCAGTTAAAGAAGAGGTTTAGTTTTTATTTGTTAAAGAATTTAAAAGATTTTATGAGAACTAATGAGATTTTAAATAAAATATTTTCACGCTTTAAAATCCTGTTCTTGACAAATTCTTAATAAATTGTTTTTATTAAGCTGTAGAATTTAAACCCACAAGATTTGTTTATAGTTATTTTTAAACAACCAACTACTCATTAAACCCCCTCTGTCTCTCSTTTTTCACTCATTCTTCAATACCACAGTAATCTTTCTAATGGTCATTTACAACCRAAAACTACCGAAAAATATTTATCATCAAGTATTAAATTTTAAATCTCTTTTTAGAAAAGCAGTTAAATTTTAAGAAGTTGAAGGAACGAGCCAGGAATTTAAAGAAATACAGTGTACATACTTGTTTTAAGGTAATTAAGGAGTCTTTTTAAACTTTAATTTGAAAAGATTTTTTAAGTAAATATTTTGAATGAAAAGCAATAAAGAAAGTTGAAGAATCACTTGAGAATGAATTCCTTTTTTAGATGAAAATTATTTTAAATCATTTTTAAAAAATTATTCAAAGATATTGGCTTGAGTTTTTATTAAGAAAATTTAGCGAAGAAGAATGAAGGGAGAGAAATGATACCTACCACAATTTTGTTCATCGCTGTTATCACCACAGTCATCTTCACGGTCGCATATCCATCTCTTAGTTACGCATATTCCATTTCCACATGTCATTTCATCACTAGAACATGTTCGAACAGCTGAAAAAGACACAACACATACAAAAAAAACATTAGTTAGCAAACACAATGAACATCACGCATGACAATTATAGCCGGGGTTCATCATGATTGCTGGATTTCAATCAGATGATAAAAGTCTGAATTTTGATGTCTATTCCAAATGTTATGACAATGAAAAGTTCTATAGACTGTTTTCTTAAGGTTGCATGCGCATCCAACTCGACAGGCCACAAAACTGAAAAAAGCAAATTCAGTAAAATTGAGAAGACAGTTTTACATTTAAAGAGGAGAATAATTGATTTTATAAATTTTCATCAAAAAAAATTTCATAGCAATGCATGATAATACTCGCGTTCTGGTATCGTGGCCTGTCAAGTTCCTTAAATTTGGATGCGCAATCTTGAGAAAACGGTCTATTGCCATTTAGCTGATGAACATTCCACATGAGAGGGGGAATGAGGTCAATAAAAAACAAGCAACATTGGTCTAGAKGAKTTTAGATCCATGTACGATATACATAGACCATGAGAAATTACCCAATAACAATCTAAGATATATAGCCATCCTATAAAAATAAAAGTGATGCAATGGTTTGTCTGGTCAAACATTAATATTTACCAGAAATCAATTGTTACTAAATGGTTAGCCATTATGGCATCAACAGCAGACTAATACGCACTCAAAATGCTGGTTTATAATTAAATACAATTCAATAAATATTGGTCCAAATATGTAGACACTGAGTAAAATTGTGTTAAAGAGTTTAAATCCTAAGTACATATCAAGTATTTAGCAGTACGTTTTACTTAATAATTATCTTATTATGATCTATGCTTAAACATGTTTTTATTTTGGTTTACACATTTGGTCATAACAAAATTAAACAGCAATTTAAAGCATAGCTACTTAACTTGACATCTAAAATTAAATTAAATTAACTTCCAGCATCTTGCAACATTGATGCAAGCTTCAATCCTAATCCTAAAACAGTGTAATAAAGCCCCATTTTAAGGCCTCATATTTATATCTTTGTTAGTATCTGGAAAATTCATATTTCTATTTCAATAGATATGGTGTCAAAACACTTTAGTATTTTTTATCATGTAAATTTTAGAGAAACCAGCTGATTACACTGGACAACAGCTGTTAAATAGCTGATTGACAAATCAAGAATATATACAACATCTGCTCTGACATTGATGTTATCAGATACAATACCCTGAGAATTTAGACTTGCCAAACACAATAAATTAACATAAAGAAAACACTAAAAAAATAAAAACAAAACAAGACAAAAAACAAACAAACAAAAATGAAAAAATGAAAAAAATGAGGAAAAAAAAAAAAGAAAAAAATTACTACAAAATATATCTAAACATTTCAGACGTTAAGCCCTTTGTCAGAGTTCTGTAAAAGAAACATTTGAAACATAAGTACAGCTTCAGACCTTTTACACAGTGTTATATTTTCCTTCTTATTCATTTACTAGAAATACAGAGAAACTTYAAAGATTGAAACATACTGGTTAACCATTAATTAGAGAAATACCTACCACATTTACTTCTTGATTCATCACTCCCATCAGAGCAATCATGATCAAGATCACAAACCCATCGGCTGGGGATACAAAGGCCTTGGGTACATTTGAACTGAGTGTCTGGATTACATGTTATGGAAGCTGGAAAAGGAATAAAGATAATCAATTTCTTAGCTTCTGACTTGATTAAAACATGATTTATGTACTGTTTAATAAACGAGCAGGAGTGTTTTATCGGGTATAAAACACGAGGCGTAGCCAAGTGGTTTTAGACCCGATAAAACACGATCTGCGAGTTTATTAAACGGCTTAAAAAACTCCAGATGTACGTTCTCATACTGTACCGAATTCTTTACGAAATGAACCAAGTTTGATAGAGAAAATCCAAGTTAAAGTTTATGCGAATGAAGACGAATCTATATCAGATATAAAACCTCCTTCATGGTCATGATTTCTATTGTGTTTCCTTCATGAATTATTAATGAGTTTTTTAAATGTAGTTTTCAGTTATTTGCACCATTTCTTAATGAATGAAAGTGAACCAAACTCTTCTATTAAATGTTAAGAAACAGGACAGCCATGAGGAACTAAATAATTTAGTGTGAAATATTGAGCTATTTACTGACTATATCTACTGTATTTAATAGACTGTTTTCTCAAGGTTGTGSGAGCGCATCCAACTTAACGTGCCCAAAAAAAACCCCAGAAAAATGCAAATTCAGTAAAATTAAGAAGCCATTTTTATWTTCAAAGCTTGTGTACTATYATCATGGCCCGTCAAGTTTCTTAAATTTAGATCTGCATTCAACCTTGAGAAAATGAATTTGGTTGAGTACTCTTAAAAAATTTATTTTTTAAGCATTGTCAAGTTTTACAAGAAATAAATACTGGGTAGCTACTCCTGCATTTTGCTGTTTTTAAACTTCTATAGATTCCAAACTAGTCAAGATATTGCTCTCATACTTGTAGATAATAGGGCGTATAAGATCCTCTTTTTATTCATAACGTTGTTTGCATGTCTACAGCCTGAAGTTTGATTCATGGTAATGAGTTAACTCATAAACAGGAAACTTGTCTATGATATCTTTATCTAATGCTAAACATAAAAATCTAAGTTGGAAAGTATTTGGTATCAAATGAATGAAAAAGGTTCAAATAAAAAACTGCAACATTTTCCCTTTCTATTACGTAATCCTTTTAATGCAAAACAATTGACTTAAGCTAATAATAATATTTCCAAAGTAAAGACATCAGATGTTAACAATGAATCAACATTGTTATTACTTATATGTAAGCTTTGAATGTAAACAAAAGATTATCATGGGAAAAAATTAGAACTATGCTTTATGATGTAGTCACAGAAGTACTCCCTACAGAATTGCCTTGTCATGGTATTCCACAAACAAATAGACACTAACTTTATATTTCTAAAGATATTGTTTAAACATAAAAATAACTTCTAATGAATGCTATAATTCTGGGACATTCAAGACTTCTGAAGTTAAATTAACCTTATCAGTTTCTAAAGTTAGCTTTTGGGAGGAAAAGGACTAATAAAATAACTTGACAGCAATGAAGCAGAACAAAGATAACAGAAAAAATATAAGTAAATTATTGAAGTAAAATAACCTCTATACCCTACAAGTATCTGAGTTTAATCACACTGTTATGAGTACACACTGCTTTGAATATAAAACTAATAGATTGAAGTTGTTTGACAAAAATACATTAAAACAAAAACAAAGCAAGCATATAAATCAATGACTGACGTGTAAAATAAATGTATTGTTGATAAAATTATAGGATATTTGGAATAGCATTTTCGCATCAAGTATATGCATTGCCAGAGGGTCTAACTATGGAAGCTTGCAAGTTCAAAAAATCGATTCTGGATAATTTACTAGTCCCTTAGAAGGACAATATTGATATTATCTAGAAAACTAATATAGTATAATCCTCATTTTTAAATAAGATTATAGATTTTATTCCTGGTTAATAGCTTTATGTTATTGCATTATAGAACATTCTTGAAGGCAAGATGAGGACTATGTGGGAAGCTCTTAAAAATATTCTACTCTTCTGGTTTATTGCTATGCACATGAAAATATCCCTTTATATACTTCAGTACATGTATGCAATTATGTGGTAGATTGATAACCACTGGTTTCAATATTTGTCAATCGATAGAACAAGACTTAAAATTAAAGTAAAAGAGCAGTCATAATTCAAAGACAACATAAAAAAATTCCAAACGCCCACAGGTCTATACAACCACTTAGAGATTCCAGACATTATCATATATGGCTGAAATCTTGATTAAATACTAATGAAAATTGGTTAAACACTTAAAATATTATCAACACAAACTAAAAAAATAATACCAATGTTGAGAAGTGTAAACATAAACAACAGCAAAAATCATAATTTCAAATTAAAAAACTTCCAAGGTTGGATTATAAACCAATGTACTTTTGGGTAAACATAAGTTTGGATCATGTTGACAACAACTTCGAAAAATAGGAAACAACTGACTATGTGTTTTGCACATAACATTTGTATAGGTAATGCTATAGCATAGAGTAAACTTTCAATTTTTCATTAAGAATGGTAGAAATATTTTAATTTCTTCAGAATATCATTTTATCAGTTGTCATAATTAGCATATGTATAAATTTTGGATAGAATAAAAACAGATGATTGAAAATCAGATGAGAAAAGATGGAAACTATTTGAACAAGAGGAGTCTACCATATATTTGACTCATTTCTTGGAAATGAAACGTGTCGGTAGCTGCTCTACCGTGACTCCTTAGCTGGGGGTGGTCAAATCTTTTGTTTTTGTGTTCCATCTAGCGAAAGAACCCATTGGATGATACTCATTCGTGAAATAATCAAGCTCTTTGATGGTTAAAGAACCAATCGAATGGTGAACTAGTCGAGGCACCGAGCGCTGTCTAGTATGGTAATTACCAACTACCACAACAAACACCAGCACACCTCAACACAAAAATACAAAATACGTTTAATTCTCCTACTAAATCAATTTTAAACCAGAATTTTTCAAAATTACATCAAAATAACCACAACACATAGAGGTTTTAGTGATATTTTCTTTAAAAATATTTTTTACTTAAATGAATATTCTATTGTATAAAAAAGCGTTACGGCTAGTCACATGATGAACGAATCTACTAAAGATTTTAAATTATATAATAAAGGAAACAATGATTCAAAGTCTCTTTGACTATTTTATATTTGAAAGAAGTTACAAAAACGATTATATTATATTCCGTAAAGACGATTTTTCAGACGCTATTGAGCGAGGGAGTGAAATACGAATGGCGCTCTCCATTTTTCTACGGGGAACGCCACTCGAAATCTCTATTTCAAAAAAGATACGTTTATCATCGTTATTTTTGTCTAAAAGCAAGAGAATTCATCGAATAAGTTAAATATTACTTGTTCGAATACATAAAGAGTTAAAAAATTCAAATAAAAGTGTGTTTTTCATAGTTGTATGAGGAGCAGGATGGAAGTATTGATTGTAATATGAAACAACAACAAAACACTAGCGCTAGGGAAGCAAGGGATAAAGGCCGGTTTACTTCACCATAAACCAACGTATTTCTATAAAGACCGTGTTTTAACGAAAAAAGTTTATTCTATATATACTACTTACGGCAACTGAGTTCGTCTGAGCCATCTAGACAGTCTTGTTCTCCGTCACATCGCCAGTTTTTAGGGATACAAGATAAGTTCGTGCAATTAAACTCATTGTATCTACACTTGAAGTCGGTCGCTAGAGAAGGAAAGAATACACTTAGTACTCCACACAACACAAGTCAAAAGGCGTATAAAAACATAGCATTTCTAAGGATGTTTTAGGGAAAGAACAGGAGCTTCGTTTTTATGTGTGTAGAGAAGAACGAAAAGCAAGCTCCCTACAATAAACAATCACATGCCGTGAATGAAACATGACGGCCAAAACATACTCGTACGACATGGTCGCCATTTACCACAATTTACGCGCACAAAAACCAACTCTTTTAATTCCATAATACCCCAAAAACATCACTGTATACAAGTAAAACACCTCATTTATTAGTATGGAGATATATCAGAGCAATAACGATGAATGAAGACAGGATAACCGGGAGAGAAGGAACTAAAACACGGAACCCACGCTACTACGTAGTCCGATATATACCTTTTGTGTGAACCATCAAACTGGTAGCGACAAACACCCATATTTTCCACCTTTCTTCTCGTAATCCTCGCATCTCTGTCTTTTTCCTCGAGATCCAAGAAACTCTAGGTAAAATAATAGCAAAACCACTACATTTAGCAGTGTTTACTTGACCGAATCAGAGTCTTTACTCTTATTGATTTACGATTTGTTGTTTTGGCAAGATACAAGATGGCGCGAAAACATTACAACGACACTCATTACCGAACACCCGAAACTAATACGACATTGGGCCGAAGCCAAATACCTGATTTGATCCTCCAATCATAACAAAGGGGTTTTGAATATATGAATAAGTTAATGTGATTAAAATTCTCGTAATTCCTTCGCAGTCCCTCAGGAGTTTCGTATTGTTATCGGCTATTCTACGGCAAATTCAAATTTCGTGAAATTAACACTTGTAAACAAACTTATGTATTCATGAAAGCTTTTACGGGAAATTCCTAAGCTTTTTCAGTTTTATTAAGATCTTAACATGAAAAACTAATAAAAGATAACAGCCTAGCTTAATAATAAGAAAAACAGGTTAAAAATATTCCCAAAGTGGAGAAAAAATTCACATTAATTCATACTGCGTTTATTGCGTTGAGGTCAAGAAGGTTCTACATAGTTTTACTAAGCATAAATATGTATCGTAAAAAGTATTAAAGATACACACTCACATATCGTTATTCAGTTACCTTAACGTGATACGTGTTTATATATAGCGTTACGTCTTAATACCAATATCCAGAATAAAAAAACTATCTCATGAGTCAGCAATAATGTTCGATATGAGTTTGCATACCAAAAATATTAGCAAACATGTGAAACGCATNAGCCCTTTGTCAGAGTTCTGTAAAAGAAACATTTGAAACATAAGTACAGCTTCAGACCTTTTACACAGTGTTATATTTTCCTTCTTATTCATTTACTAGAAATACAGAGAAACTTTAAAGATTGAAACATACTGGTTAACCATTAATTAGAGAAATACCTACCACATTTACTTCTTGATTCATCACTGCCATCAGAGCAATCATCATCATGATCACAAACCCATCGGCTGGGGATACAAAGGCCTTGGGTACATTTGAACTGAGTGTCTGGATTACATGTTATGGAAGCTGGAAAAGGAATAAAGATAATCAATTTCTTAGCTTCTGACTTGATTAAAACATGATTTATGTACTGTTTAATAAACGAGCAGGAGTGTTTTATCGGGTATAAAACACGAGGCGTAGCCAAGTGGTTTTAGACCCGATAAAACACGATCTGCGAGTTTATTAAACGGCTTAAAAAACTCCAGATGTACGTTCTCATACTGTACCGAATTCTTTACGAAATGAACCAAGTTTGATAGAGAAAATCCAAGTTAAAGTTTATGCGAATGAAGACGAATCTATATCAGATATAAAACCTCCTTCATGGTCATGATTTCTATTGTGTTTCCTTCATGAATTATTAATGAGTTTTTTAAATGTAGTTTTCAGTTATTTGCACCATTTCTTAATGAATGAAAGTGAACCAAACTCTTCTATTAAATGTTAAGAAACAGGACAGCCATGAGGAACTAAATAATTTAGTGTGAAATATTGAGCTATTTACTGACTATATCTACTGTATTTAATAGACTGTTTTCTCAAGGTTGTGSGAGCGCATCCAACTTAACGTGCCCAAAAAAAACCCCAGAAAAATGCAAATTCAGTAAAATTAAGAAGCCATTTTTATWTTCAAAGCTTGTGTACTATYATCATGGCCCGTCAAGTTTCTTAAATTTAGATCTGCATTCAACCTTGAGAAAATGAATTTGGTTGAGTACTCTTAAAAAATTTATTTTTTAAGCATTGTCAAGTTTTACAAGAAATAAATACTGGGTAGCTACTCCTGCATTTTGCTGTTTTTAAACTTCTATAGATTCCAAACTAGTCAAGATATTGCTCTCATACTTGTAGATAATAGGGCGTATAAGATCCTCTTTTTATTCATAACGTTGTTTGCATGTCTACAGCCTGAAGTTTGATTCATGGTAATGAGTTAACTCATAAACAGGAAACTTGTCTATGATATCTTTATCTAATGCTAAACATAAAAATCTAAGTTGGAAAGTATTTGGTATCAAATGAATGAAAAAGGTTCAAATAAAAAACTGCAACATTTTCCCTTTCTATTACGTAATCCTTTTAATGCAAAACAATTGACTTAAGCTAATAATAATATTTCCAAAGTAAAGACATCAGATGTTAACAATGAATCAACATTGTTATTACTTATATGTAAGCTTTGAATGTAAACAAAAGATTATCATGGGAAAAAATTAGAACTATGCTTTATGATGTAGTCACAGAAGTACTCCCTACAGAATTGCCTTGTCATGGTATTCCACAAACAAATAGACACTAACTTTATATTTCTAAAGATATTGTTTAAACATAAAAATAACTTCTAATGAATGCTATAATTCTGGGACATTCAAGACTTCTGAAGTTAAATTAACCTTATCAGTTTCTAAAGTTAGCTTTTGGGAGGAAAAGGACTAATAAAATAACTTGACAGCAATGAAGCAGAACAAAGATAACAGAAAAAATATAAGTAAATTATTGAAGTAAAATAACCTCTATACCCTACAAGTATCTGAGTTTAATCACACTGTTATGAGTACACACTGCTTTGAATATAAAACTAATAGATTGAAGTTGTTTGACAAAAATACATTAAAACAAAAACAAAGCAAGCATATAAATCAATGACTGACGTGTAAAATAAATGTATTGTTGATAAAATTATAGGATATTTGGAATAGCATTTTCGCATCAAGTATATGCATTGCCAGAGGGTCTAACTATGGAAGCTTGCAAGTTCAAAAAATCGATTCTGGATAATTTACTAGTCCCTTAGAAGGACAATATTGATATTATCTAGAAAACTAATATAGTATAATCCTCATTTTTAAATAAGATTATAGATTTTATTCCTGGTTAATAGCTTTATGTTATTGCATTATAGAACATTCTTGAAGGCAAGATGAGGACTATGTGGGAAGCTCTTAAAAATATTCTACTCTTCTGGTTTATTGCTATGCACATGAAAATATCCCTTTATATACTTCAGTACATGTATGCAATTATGTGGTAGATTGATAACCACTGGTTTCAATATTTGTCAATCGATAGAACAAGACTTAAAATTAAAGTAAAAGAGCAGTCATAATTCAAAGACAACATAAAAAAATTCCAAACGCCCACAGGTCTATACAACCACTTAGAGATTCCAGACATTATCATATATGGCTGAAATCTTGATTAAATACTAATGAAAATTGGTTAAACACTTAAAATATTATCAACACAAACTAAAAAAATAATACCAATGTTGAGAAGTGTAAACATAAACAACAGCAAAAATCATAATTTCAAATTAAAAAACTTCCAAGGTTGGATTATAAACCAATGTACTTTTGGGTAAACATAAGTTTGGATCATGTTGACAACAACTTCGAAAAATAGGAAACAACTGACTATGTGTTTTGCACATAACATTTGTATAGGTAATGCTATAGCATAGAGTAAACTTTCAATTTTTCATTAAGAATGGTAGAAATATTTTAATTTCTTCAGAATATCATTTTATCAGTTGTCATAATTAGCATATGTATAAATTTTGGATAGAATAAAAACAGATGATTGAAAATCAGATGAGAAAAGATGGAAACTATTTGAACAAGAGGAGTCTACCATATATTTGACTCATTTCTTGGAAATGAAACGTGTCGGTAGCTGCTCTACCGTGACTCCTTAGCTGGGGGTGGTCAAATCTTTTGTTTTTGTGTTCCATCTAGCGAAAGAACCCATTGGATGATACTCATTCGTGAAATAATCAAGCTCTTTGATGGTTAAAGAACCAATCGAATGGTGAACTAGTCGAGGCACCGAGCGCTGTCTAGTATGSTAATTACCAACTACCACAACAAACACCAGCACACCTCAACACAAAAATACAAAATACGTTTAATTCTCCTACTAAATCAATTTTAAACCAGAATTTTTCAAAATTACATCAAAATAACCACAACACATAGAGGTTTTAGTGATATTTTCTTTAAAAATATTTTTTACTTAAATGAATATTCTATTGTATAAAAAAGCGTTACGGCTAGTCACATGATGAACGAATCTACTAAAGATTTTAAATTATATAATAAAGGAAACAATGATTCAAAGTCTCTTTGACTATTTTATATTTGAAAGAAGTTACAAAAACGATTATATTATATTCCGTAAAGACGATTTTTCAGACGCTATTGAGCGAGGGAGTGAAATACGAATGGCGCTCTCCATTTTTCTACGGGGAACGCCACTCGAAATCTCTATTTCAAAAAAGATACGTTTATCATCGTTATTTTTGTCTAAAAGCAAGAGAATTCATCGAATAAGTTAAATATTACTTGTTCGAATACATAAAGAGTTAAAAAATTCAAATAAAAGTGTGTTTTTCATAGTTGTATGAGGAGCAGGATGGAAGTATTGATTGTAATATGAAACAACAACAAAACACTAGCGCTAGGGAAGCAAGGGATAAAGGCCGGTTTACTTCACCATAAACCAACGTATTTCTATAAAGACCGTGTTTTAACGAAAAAAGTTTATTCTATATATGCTACTTACGGCAACGGAGTTCGTCTGAGCCATCTAGACAGTCTTGTTCTCCGTCACATCGCCAGTTTTTAGGGATACAAGATAAGTTCGTGCAATTAAACTCATTGTATCTACACTTGAAGTCGGTCGCTAGAGAAGGAAAGAATACACTTAGTACTCCACACAACACAAGTCAAAAGGCGTATAAAAACATAGCATTTCTAAGGATGTTTTAGGGAAAGAACAGGAGCTTCGTTTTTATGTGTGTAGAGAAGAACGAAAAGCAAGCTCCCTACAATAAACAATCACATGCCGTGAATGAAACATGACGGCCAAAACATACTCGTACGACATGGTCGCCATTTACCACAATTTACGCGCACAAAAACCAACTCTTTTAATTCCATAATACCCCAAAAACATCACTGTATACAAGTAAAACACCTCATTTATTAGTATGGAGATATATCAGAGCAATAACGATGAATGAAGACAGGATAACCGGGAGAGAAGGAACTAAAACACGGAACCCACGCTACTACGTAGTCCGATATATACCTTTTGTGTGAACCATCAAACTGGTAGCGACAAACACCCATATTTTCCACCTTTCTTCTCGTAATCCTCGCATCTCTGTCTTTYTCCTCGAGATCCAAGAAACTCTAGGTAAAATAATAGCAAAACCACTACATTTAGCAGTGTTTACTTGACCGAATCAGAGTCTTTACTCTTATTGATTTACGATTTGTTGTTTTGGCAAGATACAAGATGGCGCGAAAACATTACAACGACACTCATTACCGAACACCCGAAACTAATACGACATTGGGCCGAAGCCAAATACCTGATTTGATCCTCCAATCATAACAAAGGGGTTTTGAATATATGAATAAGTTAATGTGATTAAAATTCTCGTAATTCCTTCGCAGTCCCTCAGGAGTTTCGTATTGTTATCGGCTATTCTACGGCAAATTCAAATTTCGTGAAATTAACACTTGTAAACAAACTTATGTATTCATGAAAGCTTTTACGGGAAATTCCTAAGCTTTTTCAGTTTTATTAAGATCTTAACATGAAAAACTAATAAAAGATAACAGCCTAGCTTAATAATAAGAAAAACAGGTTAAAAATATTCCCAAAGTGGAGAAAAAATTCACATTAATTCATACTGCGTTTATTGCGTTGAGGTCAAGAAGGTTCTACATAGTTTTACTAAGCATAAATATGTATCGTAAAAAGTATTAAAGATACACACTCACATATCGTTATTCAGTTACCTTAACGTGATACGTGTTTATATATAGCGTTACGTCTTAATACCAATATCCAGAATAAAAAAACTATCTCATGGTTCTCAGTTCGCCAGATTAGTTTCATGCTTCAAATTATCCCCATAATCCCCTTCACTAACAGTTTAGCACTTTCAACTCCCTAGCGTCTTTGACTTAGATGATGTAATATTCATAACATAGGTCACATGCGTTTCACATGTTTGCTAATATTTTTGGTATGCAAACTCATATCGAACATTATTGCTGACTCACTCTTAGCATATTACAGTAAAGCACCTACATCCTCGTATTTAATTGGTGATCGATGGAAGGCCAAACCAATGAAACTTATAATACACACTGACTGACAAGTGACTGATCAATGTACGCACAAAGAAAAAAATCCTTACATACTTTAGTACAAAGCAGAACAACAAATACGTGACCTTTTAGAACAATGGCCATGAATGTGACGACGTTTWAATGTCTTATCATTCAATAAAAATATTAAAAAATAATATTTGATTCTGCGAAAATAAATACAGCCAGTAAGTCCATTGGACGTGCCAAAGGTTAATCGTACCCAACATTGTTCAATGAAACAATGTTATAAGACCAACCCTTGACAAACTTGCAGAAACATTGCATATTTGTAAAAGCAAGTCGATCACCAATGTTTTATTGTCACGTAGAAAACTCATTTATTTGGTCAAGTGTTGACATTCACTTGTCCATTTCTTCATCCATTTGTTCCTTCATTCAATTTTTCATTTATTGAYTTTTTCATTTATTCATTGCTTCATTCATTCATTTATTCATGCATTCTTTTGTTTATCCATTCATCTGTTCATTCATTCAATTGTTCATTCATTTATTCATTTGTCCATTTCCCCCTTCATTCATTCATTCCTATTTTTCTTATCAAAATTAATATTTTTATCACATCCAATTTGACTTCTTTGACTTCTTCCTAAGACTCTGCTCGCAGGGTRTTTAGCTTATTAAGCTTGAAATACTTTTAAAACAGAGCACTGATGGACAAAGGGGGTGGGGTAAAGTGTGCACCATCAGCTCTCTGGTAGACCACCTTCTAACTGAAAGAACACTGATATTAAATAAGGCATTTTACAATTTGTTCAATAAATTCTCCATTAACATTGCAAGCCCCCATAGATTCTTTAAAACGAGGCAGGATTTTTATATGTTTTCATACTCGAACCTATTTTCAAATATCTTGTTATCCATTTCACTTTTAAATACATTAATTTATTCAGTCTTCGTATTCACATAAGAATTTAATTATCTCATTTTTTAAAATTTTCTTAATAAGTAAGCTAGGCCTTGCTAGAGGYAACACCAATAAAGGAATAACAGGCAATTCAGTTTTAAAATATAAGGGATAACTGACAAAATATTTCTCAGGATCAGGGCTTTTAGAATATTTTGGAGTAGTTGGTCATAAATCTGTCGTAAATCATAAGTTTGCTGTGATTGAACAGAGGTTTTGCACCATCACGTGCCGACACCCATAATACAGCTTGGACTGCCTGTGGTTRGATAGCGGAACAATAAAATCACTTTGCTCTCAGGAATGGAGGTCTTTTTTATGTAAAAAGATTGTATTGTTCCTGCCATCTAACATGGCTGCCATCACATGATGGTGCAAAGCTTCTATACAAGGAACAGAAAGTATTAATTTCATAGAAAAGAAAAAGTAGCTGGCAGTTAACTTTGAAGCAATTGCCAGAGCTCYGGTGGCCGCCRAATTATTCTRAAATCCCTGAGAATAAGTAAAAAAATAATTGAAAATAAGCTTTAAGGGATTATGGTCTCTGTACTTTTAGGCATATGAGATAATCGACCCAGAATAATCAAGACGATTGAACATCCACTCCTCACCACCCCTAACAGGTCCTCATTAGTATCAAGTTTTGATTCAACTTTGCTAAACCATGAGTTGTAGCATATTTGCTAAAAGTCTTTTTTATCTGAACAGGATGTAGATCATTAATCAGAAAGTTACCAAATTAGAAATAAAAAATAAAAACATAATGAATAAATTAATAATTTTACCAAATAATACAATTCGTATTTGAATCAAAGTTATGAAAATGAATGAAAAAAAAAAAAAAAAATGAAAATAAACACTTACATTAATATCATAGGATTTTGTAAGTTTTCTGATATTGATGTGGTCAGAAAGTTTCAGAGAATACATTAAGAGATCAAGGAATAAAAATTCCATAAWATTTTTATTCTATAACTACTAATTACGACACCCAACTTACCCTCTGCCTGCTCTATTTTTGATAATACTTTTGGTTGSCTTGAACACGACCTTTTACGACCGTCACAAACGCTGAAAAGGAAATAGTGGTTTTGGAAACGAAAGTAATKAGAAAGAATTGTTCAAAAAATTGATTGATCAGTACGTCCGGTAAAGTGAATCACGCCAGATCATGTTTTTATATACTCATTTGAAAATTGCATGCTCGTTATTTCGCATGTATAGTAGTAAATGATAACTAATGKCCATTGCTCGATTGTTTATATAACTTCCATGTATCCAATCAGGGATGTGTTATCAAAAATAGGTTGAAAAAATAGCGTAGTTATCTTTAATTTGAAATTTTATTTAAAAGGATAAACACATTGACAAGCGRTTCTGCAGTAATAAGTTTAAGCTTTTTTGTAAACTATTTCTGCATTTCAAAAACTATTTCTTCGCGTGAAAGATCAAAATAAAAATGTTTAAGTAAGGGGATCTGTTATGCTCTCGTCAGATAAAACAGTATATAGATTTAGTAGGTTATATTGACAGAAAAAGCATTGCATACTAGACTTTAAATGAGGGATGTCAATTTCAAGTCATCAGGGAAAGCCCGCTTAGATGTGTAACGCAAGGATTTGCACATGCGTCTCTGCGTCCCTCGAAACGCTGTTTTCATCACCTCAAGATTTTGAAAACAATAAAAGAATCGATATAAGGTCAAATGGTTATCGAGGACTTACCAAAACAACAGCCTAGGTTGTCGACTTGATTGCGTGTATAAGCGGATTGTAGTCAGAATATCTGGTGGGTCATTGAAGAGTTCATTCTCTTTGAATTTTTCACATGATTCCAAGCAATATTAACTGAGTTCAGTGTCTTCCAAATGCATTCAAAAGAAAAAACTTCGGATAGTTTCTTTATTCTTGCTGTCGGTGGAATAACAGTAGAGTTTCTTAACAAAAATTTCCTTCGAACTTCAACTGACCATGTGCCGACKACGTTAATTATGTGCATATATAATGAGGTAAACTTAAATTTCAAGAAAGCAATATATTTTTATTGAAGACAGTTGTACTAGTGACTAAAAATTCAGTTTGTCCGTTCTTGTGGCTTATCAGTTTTCTTTAATATTTCTTTCGCTTTTATACTTGAAATGAAAATTGCGAAAAAAACCGGAGAGAAATTTGTAAAAGTCGTATAAGTGTCTAACTAGTCGGAACATGAGTTTATACGAATGATGAAAGAACGCCAAAAACTAGAATAATTTCCAACGAGGTTGTTAAACAGAAAAGCTATCAACAGAACAATATCTGGACTTTATTTACTTACCGTTTATAGCGAGATTAAAGCCATAAACAAGCAGCTTTTATCCAAACTTAAAGCATAATCGTGGCAGTTGCGGCGGTCTGTCTTGAAGTAAACGTACGTGATATCATTTAACTCAMAACGTTGACCGGTAGCTATACTACTAGCCCGACTAGCCCTATATCGCCTGGAGGGCGCCAACTTTTATCTCTATAACAGCAAAATAATGARAAAAGAATAATGAAAAACTGACTTTAGTAGTCAAAATAGTGAGCTAGGTTTAATTTTGACTAACACTTAGATAGAGGGCATAATCGAGGCTTTGATAGAGCCTTTTTACGCAATAGCTGCGACGTCATAGGCCCTAACCCCGGACATATCGGTCATACATACATACATGTTGGTACAGCTTGGGATTGCCTACGCGCTCGTAACCATTTTGTAAAATGCTTCGTAACTTTATGAAAGAGAAATTACTATGACAACCAGAATTCTCGAAACTTTTTTCAGTGAATTTACTACTAGCGGCGATGAAACAGTCCTCTGTACACCATTTCCAAATCATAATAGTTAAAAAAATAATGAAATATAATAACTATGAAAGAAATAAACCGACTAGATGAAATTTTCAGTTCGAAGCGAATGAAACTCCCGAACTTGAAACAGACTACCCTGCGTTTTTAATTATTCAAAAAAAAGTAAAGAAATGAATAATATAATAATAATAATAATGATGATGATGATGATGATGATAAAATACATTATCATTATTATTATTATTATGATAAAATGAATGTCGAATGTCCGGTCACGATTTTTAAAACTATATAGTAAAATAAGTGGCAATTTGTGTGGTTAATTCATAAAAACTGTCACTCATCAGTGTCCTTTTTTTGAAGAGAAAAAGTGCAAAAATAATAAGAATCAAATGCGTGGAAAGTTAAATGTTGAATAGAAAATAGAAAAGGGGATAAATAGAATTGAAATTTTCTTAAGAAACACGAGAAGATTATGATTTAAACTTTTGAACAGTTGTATTAATATCCTAAAGGAAACGAGACGAATTCAAAAGGGAAAATAGAAAATAAGACAGAAAGCGAATGATAGTGTGGTGAGAAAATGGAAATGAGCGGTACTTCCTGTGAATATCGTCCTACGTGGAACGACTTCCGCCCACTTTTTGTCGCTTTTTACATATATATATTTATTTACTCGAGTTTTCTCTCCAGAACATCCAAAAACATACGAGAAATAAATGATAAAAATACTGAAATTAACAGCTTGAAAAATGCACTTTGGGGAGTAATCAGAGGTTCTTCATAAGATCAAATTTCTCTCAAGTTAGAAAATTTAAGATCAAATGTACTATATAACTTGGCAGACACAACACGCCTTCTGAGWGGAGGATTTCCTCGAGGCGGAGGAGGGAGGAAATTGTCTTACACATGTACTGATTGACGAGGGGAACAGAAAGAAGTGACGGACTACGAGAAAGGAATGAACTTAGACAAAAGCGGAAGGCAAGAAGACAGAAAAGGGGCGATTGGAGCGTTACAACACAAGGGGATGAAAGGAGAGAGCGACAGAAAAGAGGCTGCAGAAAAGGGAAGAGGGGCGGGAAAAAGGGTGGTAAAAAGGGGAGGAGAGAAAAGGGAGAAGCGCGGCGGCACAAGGGGAGTAGAAATAAGGGGAGAAATGACAAAAAATGGAGGCAGAGAACGGGAGGAGCGCTATCGGTGGCATAAAATGAGACACAAGTGACAGAAAAGGGGAGATTTTTATTGGCAGCAATCCAATGTAAATGTTTATACGGAGCCAATTTATAAAATAAGTTGCCGTTGAAGAGCAACAAAAAGAGAGCAATACAAAAGGTGAAAAGGGACAGGAAAAGGTAAAGCGGCAGAAACTAAATGAAAGCGCTACAAAGGTTCAAGAGTGACAGAGAAGGGAAGGGGAGAAGGGAAGGGGAGAAGGGAAAGACGAGGGAATATCATAGAACAAGCAAAAGGTGTCTATGGAAAGGAGACGATAGTGAACTAATTAAAGGAAGAGGAAAATGGAAGTTGTGCACAAATTTCTGTAAGGAACTAAAGGAATTAAAAATCTATCCAAGTTGTTTTTTAAAGAAAGTAAAGACTATTTTTCCATCTCCTATTCACCCCCCGCGCGAGATGGTCTCTCAAAAAATCCTAGGAATCGAGTTACCAACATTTATTAATGCATCTAAGAGTACACTACAATCAATCTTCTATTTCATTATGATACCTACTACATACTGAAAACATGAATATTAAATGGAAAAAGAAACTTAAAGTTACATCAACAGTGGCACAAGCCTAACAGATATGCTAYACATGGATTATAATATACACGTGCATTAGATATGTCTAATATATGCATTATTAAAGTCGGTACAATGTTTTTCCCTCCGCGTTTCATTTGGCTTGACTTTAATCACTCAAAAAAAAAAAAAAAAAAATCGAAAATAGCGACTTCGCAATTATTTCCTGGTAGTAAAATTCCCCGAGTAGAATAACCTTAGGATACCACATTATAAGCAAAACTAGAAAAGAGAAAAACAAATTCAATCCACGACACAATCYCGCATAGCTCGGCTAGAGATTCTCAAAATAATATCAAAGTCTGTGTRCCCGTTACTTGATCGCGCAACCCAGACATATCCGGACAATTCTACCGTGATTGGCGCAAAGTCTAACCTGTTGAAGAGCGATTGACCGTGAAACAGTTTCTCAGTAGCATAGATAGTGCCGGTTTTGAAAACGACCAAAACATGTTTGCATTATTATATTTGACCGTCTAGTTAGATTTGAAAAAAACGTTTGCTAATTGGTCTACTATTTCACGGTCTGAGGAAAATCACTACGTTATGCGCCATTTTGGAGAGAGGAGTGACAATTAAATAAAAGCTTCTTTGTCATTTTTCAGGCCACCAGTCAAGATTTTATACCAGTTTTACTGCATTTCCTGCTAACGGAATATGGAACGGAATGACTTAAAGTGCAGCGTAAAACCGGTCATCTGGGTCACGTGATCACCAAGGCAGGYGTAACAAACTTTATGAAACAATACGCCGGACTCTAACATTCATGTGGCGGATCTTATAAGTCGGTCAAGGCGACTTATTTATCAATTGTTATCTTTGTTGTGTCTTAGTTAACGGACTATGAAAACTATCTAGCTAAACTGCGAACGAGCCGCTACTAAGACTATTTCGCACATCATACGAGCACAAAAATTTTAAGGATTTGCTAGTTAAATGCGATAAAGGATTTGAATAAAAACTATGAAGCTTGATTATCAAACGAATAAAGGCGTTAATTTTTATCCATGACATTTTTTCTTGTTTCGATGTTGGCTGGTCTGGCCCCTAATTGAACCACTGGCTGTTGGCCTGAATGTCTACTACAACAATCYCCGTGGGTACACCCCCTTGGTCTTCATTTCTTTCTCTGTGATGGTGATGGTACTCCAGCATCTATTGACGTGGCAGCAAAGTCTGTCTCCATGTCTGACCCCTCCTACAACAAAAGAAAAGTTAGCTTTAATGCTAATGTATGAATGACATCATGAATGACATCATGAATACATTAAGAGTTGATTTGAGGCGAACGGAAAAAAGAAGCGATAGCTCCACTACAGGGAACTCCATGCTTATTATCCAGAACGTAATTGGGATTCCTGTGTTGACATATATGGCAGAGAAAAACTGACGACAGAGGGAGAGAGAAAATAAAATCTTTTTCCCCACTCTCCTGAAGCCCTTACAATGCCACTAAAATGTACATCATGCTGGAAAGCCCTTCTAATGATGCAGCATACCATGTAATTGATACAGTTTAGTGTAATTAGTCATACTTGACATGCCTGGAAGCCATTCAGATGTCAACTATGTATCGTAGAATATATTGTAGTACGGAAGGCTCTAGTACTTCGGTCATGTGATAGGAAGGCATGGAAAAACCTTTTCAATGGCACAAAAACCATTCTCATGTATTAAGATCATGCATGGCAATGCAGTAAAATTACATCACAGAGCCATTCTTCTAACGTCATGATCATAAAAGAAGTAAATTTAATTTAGAATAAAGGAATTTGTTGTCATTCAATGTCGATGATGACGCACAAGCCGAACATAACAATGTAATGACTTTTAATTAAGAATATGTAAACCGACTTCCAAGCATTTTTAGCTTTCTAGTTATTTTTGGAAGTTGGTACCCTTCAATCTGTCTAACATAAAAAAATGTATCAAATTAGAAAATAATGTAATAATGGGTACAAATAATGTTCTTCTCGTATAACAAAGGTTGTCAATGTAAAAACTTCCCCCTGGCTGTTCTGCAGCTATTTACTTACATGATGGAAGCTATAAAACGGTCAAGAACTCTAGCTACACGAATAAAGAATAAATTTAAGTCATTCAGTTTAACAGAGACCACGATTTGTGGAATTTTTACGTCATGTAAACAAGAGGTCTGAGGGGTTTACTGACACTTATAAATTCGTAAAATTTTGCGTCAGAGCAACAAACATTTGATCTTAAAATCATGAAAATACGGTGTATGAAGAAAACAGTTTATCTCTAATAAACAGATACTAGAGTGCACACCGTATATCCGTGAAAAAAGATTTGTAAGAATTGCACGAACTACTGAGTAAGTTCAGTAGACCGTAGACCTACAAAATTTGCACTAATTTGTACAATATGGCATGCACTCTAACGCTTCCGTGTGGATTAATTCTCTAGTTTCTTAACATCCTGCGAATGCTTCAAAATGCGAAGTTTTCTTTTATTGCAATCGAGAAACTACGTACTTGATACCATAGGTAAAACCAGTTGTCAAGCGAGTAACTAACACTGAATCTGACTGACGCATAAGAACTGAAAGCATATGTAGCTGGTTCTTTAGGATTTCCTAAGAGTACAAACCTCTTAACGTTATCCTTGATGATTACATTGTTTATCTTAATGATCGCTTTGAGTGCTCTAAGGACAAACTTCCCAGAAGAATCATAAATGCGTCAAGAAAATGTTATCGGCCTAAAATATTCTTTTACACCGGTATTTCCCATTTAATAACATAATTTTTCTTAAACGCATTTAAATGGAGATCTCAATGCTTTTACAGTTGAATGTTCAAAAAATATAATAAATAGAGGATATTACATGGGCACGCGGAGATACGAAATTTATCTTCGAGTGTTGAAAAGATCTCTCACAAGTGAGCGCAGCGAACGAGTGAGAGATTTTCAACACGAGAARATAAAWTTCGTATCTCCAAGCGSCCATGTAATATTCTGTTTATTATATAATTATCAATGAAGTATGTTTTGGCTTTTTCAGGCAATTTTTTCCGTGTATTTTTGAATAGCCATCGCAATGGTGTTATTTTCACACGTGAAAATAACATGTTATTTTCACGTGTGAAGATATCAATTTTTCGAAATAGAGAAAAATAGATATTTCATTGGTAATTATATAATAATAATAAATAAAGTAGGATAAATAATAAAATAATTCCTTAGCTAGAGAATAAAAATGTTGCGAGTTCAGATTTGAAAATGTCAATAGACGTGACTTCTTTCTATCTTTTTTTTCCTTCCAATTTACATGTAAATCTATATCGAGTCAGCGTTGATTCTTCCAGTCTTTTCGTTTTGCGCCCCGTTCACCTCCCATCGAGTCAGCGGGTGTCATTTGGCACAAGTATATTTTTTGTTGTAAGGAGAATGGCCTTCCTCGTCATTGTGTTGAGAGGGTTTTACAAGGATTACTGAGTAGGGTTAGTGTCGCGTGTCTAGGTTGGCAAGGATTCAAATCTCTGTGCAAACAGCTGGTTTCAGAGCGCCGTTACCACAACAAGCAGGTGAAGAARATAGAGCAGATTAGATTAAATACGAGATAAATAAACAACAAACAATACTGATGGACAGACAGACAGAGAGACGTACTGAGCATCAGAGGAACAGAAATACCGATCTGCAGCTGATAAGACATTAAGATTAAGTCTGTTCTAGRAAACAGAGACGAGAAATTTGACAGACCTTCAAGACCTTCACCTTTGAACTCTGACACTGACCTATATGACCTTTACCGGAAACAAGCCAGTGGTTCTAAAACAGTAGATTTTAGCTGAAGTTATGTACAACAGCGTTGCGAAACAAGTTGAAGCTAAAAGTTTTACCAAACTTACTAAGTAATAAAGTATCACAAAAGGTTTCTACTAGCTCACCTGAACTCACCTGAATATCAGCTAAAAGTTTTATTCATTAAAAAACGCATATTTAGATGGTATTAGAGGTAGGAAACAATTTCTTTATCTATATTTGTAAAATACATCGAATTGTATTTAAATCAAAGAGTTGCTTTTGCACGACGGAGATGGTTTGAAGTTACAAATAACCACCAACCAGCCCCTCTCCTCGTTGGAGAACCAGAAATCCATTCTCCACCCCGGACAGGTTGGTTTTGTTATAAACAACACTTGACCTTGGAGAACCAAACATACCCGTCCCCTACCCTGACGGATTATCACTTATTCTTTTCCACTGTTTTCATCAAGAAGTCTAACTTGGAGACTCTAAACAGCAGCCCAAGTGTAGCACATACTAACAAGGCTGTCAACAAAACGGTTTCGCACCTTTTAAATACTATGTTGTTCGCAATAAGCCGCCTGACCTTGCCAAGGCTATGCAAGGACACGTTTATTATGATTGAATCTTTCCAGGAAACGCTGCAGACAAAGGTCTAGTAAATATGTAAGAACGTGATGGAACAGACGGAGAGAGAAGACAATGAGGTTGTCAGCTCAAGTCATAAGAAGAAGACTCTAGGCGCCTGTTGGTTGGAATGTTCCGGAATGATGAAAATATTGAGGTCGATAATAGTGACGTTAATKAGAGACCTTTTTCAACCTTTAGCCAAAACAAGGTTCTATGCTTGTGCTAATACGATGACTATGAGGAATAAAAAAAGAGGCGGATTTCTAAAGAAAGAAAGAAAAAGATGGGGACCACTAGATGACATATTMCTAAGAGCGACAAGGATAAACTAATAACTACTAACTGTAACACTATGATGGCTTTCTTATACATCACAACCAATCACAAAACAGYTTAGTTACGTTAGKGAGRACGGAACACAWAGCYAAGACACRATAACTATTTGAAAAGCAAAAAGAWAARAATGGTRTCTATGAAGATAACTCCAATACTCCTTTTTACAGTTCTATTCAGTGACCACGAATAATAGTTCCTAGCCGAGGCTGGAGTTTCCGCACATAGTAAAACTACAGTTTATCATGCGCGGAAACTCCAGCCTCGGCTAGGAACTATTATTTGTGGTCACTGAATGGAACTGTGAAAAGGAGTATTAGGATGAGAATCGGAATAAGCCTGAAGCGAGATGACGTTTTCCCCCGACTCTATACCATAATAGTTTTTAAAATTCTTTCATATTAAAATTTTCGATTCCTTAGAGAATACAGGAACAATAGTCAWAATTAAAGAACAAAAGCAGTGTGAAAAGGATTATGGTCTAGAGACGGGGGTAAAACGTCATCATGCTTCAGGCTTATTCCGCGCGAGTGTCTTCAGCTGTTCCTATGATTCCTACTCTCACTGCTGGTTTAACACAATTTGTCCCTTAATAATGCATTAGCACAACTCTTTCGCAAACTTTTTATCTTTCCATCTATATTTTTTTTCTCTATCTTTCTTTTCTTCTCCCCCGCCTATTTTTTTATATTTTTCTTTTTCTTTACTTCCTTCCCTCTAAAAGGAGAATGCCTGGGTGTAGGATATCTCTTTTAAGAATTCAATTCTTCCCAAAACAAAGAAAAAATAATACTTAAAGAGATTCGACAAAATAAAAACTCTAGAATGAATCAAGGAATATTTGAAAGACAGTGATGAGCAGCATTTACGAGCACATCTTTTTACTCGACAAGGAACTCCACTCCCCCCACTACCAATCCATCACACGACCCCCATCTCCCACTCACAAACAAACATAAACAAAAAGGGAAAGATATATCACATAAAGYCAGCAAACTGAAGCTAAATATATGGTGACTCATAAACCAGACCTTCTCGAAGTGACTTTACTTCAAGGTGGTTGGCTGTGAGCCATTATTGTCTTCTCTTATAAAATCAAATAAGCATTGCCACGTGCTTGGAAAAGAAAACCTTTCAAGTGCTCTCTGCCCTCCTACTCTAAAACGACGCATTCCACAACCTTCCAGAGATTTTGTAAGAACCAACAGTGCTACACGTGCCAAGGGATAGATATGACAACAAAGAAGAACAGGTCGAAACAATGGAGAATCGTGCTTGGCACGCGTCGTATTGAGTGCTAAGACAAATAGTCGATCAATATAAATAGAGCTACCAGAAGGCTGAGACAATAGATAGATATATTGTTGTCTAATTGATACACGGTTATAATGGGGTGAATATGTTGTAAACAAGTCCAAGATCTATACAGCAGGTCTTGTTAGTATACTGGTTGCCTCTGAAGTGATCCAGACAAACTTCTATACTATTTTTCCCCTGTCGCACCAACTTTCAAAACCTTCAAATCTTATTGATACCCTGAAACAACTTTGGGCTGATCAAAGTCAGGGCACGACTAACTCACAGAGCGAGCCCTGAGTTAATCAGCCTCTRGGCAGATCAAAATCAGGGCACGGCTAGCTCACACATAGAACACTGAAAGAATTTCTGGGCAGATTAAAGTCAGGGCACGGCTAAYTCACACATTGAACACTGAAAGAATTTCTGGGCTGATTAAAGTCATGGCACGGCTAACTCACAGATCGAATTGGTATTTCATGTATAACATGTTAGGTTAGCATGATGGGTTTGGTGATTCGAGTGCGCAGCTGCCAATACTCGAAAATACATCGTCTACAGGTGCACGAATATAACGTTTTCATGCACAAAATGAACCTAAAATAAACTCAATGAACCTAAATCGAGGAAATTCTCTTTTGTTTGATGAACATTTCTCCTGTTAGGTTACGAGAAGAGACAGAGACTCTATAATACTTCTATACTTATTATTCATACAAATGCCAAAAGATACGAAATAYTATATCGAAGAACATAGCTTTTATAACTGCAAAATGCTTCTAATAAACAGAACGATGAATGAATAGTTTGCATCAACGCCCAAGAACTGTGTTTTATTACAAACTAGCTTTCGACCTCCGAGGACATCTTCAAAGTGCCGGAAAATGTTCCTATCAAGAACTAAAGGCTTGAAAAACAACACTCACGTTCTGGCTTTGCAAGATCATCCAATTAGAAAAGGCCACGCCCAATGTAGTATACTATGCGCGTTGTGCAGATCTAGGGCGTGGGTGAGACCCATGAATCGACATCGAAACACTTCACAGGCTGGTCGCCATGGAGTACTAGCCATCTTTCTTGGCCTTCCTTTCTAGTTTTCTGAATATTACGACACAAAGTCATTCTCTTGTTTAGGAAAGGAGTTGAATGGCGATTGTACCTTCATTTGAAGTTTAGATCAATAACAGTCTTGGCTATCTAAATCTCAATCGCTCATAAATAATTACTGTCCATTTACCTCAAAGTCGCCACTGAAGGATARACATTTTGAACTATATCTTTTCTATCTAAATTGGGTTTCCTGTGGATCTTTGGGTACTTTTACAAATTATAATTTGTCCAATCAGAGCGCGTGTTAAGTAATGGTTTTCTAAGTTTCCTATTGGATATCATTACTTACGTCACTACTATCCGCTCTCTCTGAAGGAGGACAGGAGTCTGATTCCTTGTCATCTAGTTCTCCTGGCGTTCTGCTACGAGGGGGTCTACCGCGCCGCTTCTTCTGGACGAGAACAGAAAAGAGCTTTAGCAAAGCTGCATGCCTATACCTTAACCTAATCCTCACCTCTGGGGTGATCCAAGTCAGAACGTAGCTAACAAATCGAGCCTAGAGTGTTGGGCTTAGCAGAGGGAGGATAACTGGAGCGCATGCGTCTCCAAAAATGACGTTTAATGAAGCACTCAATAAAATTGAAAAATTACAGTTGAAGTTGGAAAAAACGTTATGTTTTAACGAGGAGCGCATTCAATAGCCCGCAGTGGCTACCAAACCTGTGGCCCTCGTTAAGTCCATGATCGAAGTGGCAAGAAAACTAGAGAACCCGAAGCACAAGAGAAAACCAACTAGTAACTCTTCTCACATACAACACCGAGCCCGGCGGGATTCGAACCCGGGTCGCATTGACGAGAGGCGCGAGCTTTCACAACTTACTGCGGTATGAAGAAAGAGGATGTTTATGAAATAGCATCACGAGTACTTACCCCACTCATCTCAGCTTTGGCTCTTTCAACAGACTGCTTTCCAAGCTTGATTCTCATTTTCAAGGAAGACAAACTACTACCTACRAGAACAAATCATATACAAAACAGTTTAGTTCTCTTTGAATCCGAGCCGCAAAATCGTTCCGCAAAAAGAAAGTAGAAAAGAGAAAGTAACAAAAAATTATAAAGAAAAAAGAAAAGGAGGAAGGAATGAATGAAGGAAGAAAGGAAAGATGAAAGAAAAGGAGGAGGAAAGATGGATGATAGAAAAGGGGAAGAAGTAAGGGTTTAAAATATCAAGGAAAATACAGAGCTGCACTTCCAATAAAATGCGTCTAAAACTAGGACAAATCACAGAAAATTAAAAATGAAAATTACTGACGATGGCAGCAGCACTACCGAAACATATTTGTAACAAAACTGTTGTTGTTATTTTCGTCAAGATATTAACTTTTCATAATATCATAAGTCCCTTCGCCTAACCCTTTCACACAGGTAACCCAGGCACCAGTGGCGTAGCAAGGGGGGAGGGGGTTATTAATTGCCGAAACATAAAAGAAAAAGTAAAATATTAGAAATTAGGTTGAACGAATAAAAATGTTTGTTTCTTTTTGTTTACTTGTTTCTGTTTTCCCCCTACTATTCCTGGGGACCTCGCTACGCCCTGGCCGTGCACAGATATCTTTCGTGTAATAACACACAAATACTGTGTGGTTCATATAACTAAAGCATGATCCAATGTTCCAGGTRCCACTATCAAACCCCATCCATCAAACAACAAGTACATGTTGCTTTAATGGTGTTAGCGAATACCTGAGATTWTTAATGTAGCACAAGGTCCACGCCTGACGATCATGGTATATATCCTGCCAGGGTCTAGCTATGTGCATTATTAACCACATCTACCATGGTATATTCTACTACAGACCATCATGGTATATATCCTGCCAGGGTCTAGCTATGTGCATTATTAACCACATCTACCATGGTATATTCTACTATAGATCATCATGGTATATATCCTGCCAGGGTTTAGCTATGTGCATTATTAACCTCACATCAACCATGATATATTCTACTACAGACCATCATGTCATATACATCCTACCAGGGTCTAGCAATGTGCATAAATACCAAATCAACCATTCTATATTCATACTACAGACCAACATGTAATATATACCACATCAACCATGGTACATTCTACTGGTTCTAGCTACGTGCACTATTCATAACTAGCATCTGCTTACCTTCCACATCAGATCCTATGGATTCTCTATCATCTCCATCCCCCTGCAAAAAACATTCAAAAAGATCGTCAATTCTGYGTTATTTATATCCACATCATTGATCACCATCACTACAATCACTACATAGACAGCATCAATATCACCACCATCATCACTGTTATCATCATCATTATTATCATCGTCATCATCACTATCCGCACTATTAGTGTCGTTATTATCATCATCAYCACCACCACCAYCATCACCATCGCAGTAACAGGATCATGATCGCCACCAGTATAATCATCGTCATCGTCATCACCACCAGCATCATCACCATCAGTGACAGGATCATCATCGCCACCACTATCATCATCGTCATCATCAGTCATCATCATACATCAAAGATACTGATCATATCAAAGGACAGTCATATTTTACCTCTTCTTTATCAGTGGTCTCCTTATCACTCTCTTCGCCCTGTACTTGTTTGGGGATGACTAACTCCTCACCAGCTTTCACCTTACCAAGAGCATGGACAAACAGTGACTACAAAAAATAAAATGCCTCAACAACTCGAACTTCAAATTAAAAAGGCTAACAATTATATATGATTTGTACATCAGGACTCAGTCGCAACGGTTGCACTAAAGGTGGATAGCCCTATCCSATGGATAAATCCTTATCCAGTGGATAAGTCGATGCCGCGCCCAGAGGATGAATAAACTCACCTGTAGTTTGATGGAATCTTCGTAAATCTAGAAACATTTTGGGTGGAAATTGAAATAAGTTAATTCTCTAYAAAATCAGGGTATTGTTCGTGTTAAGATGAAGGCTATAGACAATGATATTTATCAAACACCTTTTTTACTTAAAAAAGAAACAAAATGAGAACAAAAAAATGAAAAATGAAAACGATTCATTCACAAAAAACTGTTTGGTAAAGGTAATCGAAATGTCGTCTTTATTCATCTTTTTTGTATTCTTTTGTGGTGAGCTGTTAATATTAACCGACGTTATTATTGTAACGCGGCTTTTTTTGCCCCCTGGACGCCCCATAATGCCTTGCAATCCAAGATGGCCGCCGCACCGTCGAAGTAGTCCATTACCTTCACCATTTACATTTAGAAGATTATTACTTACGATGGAGCCTTCCATGTTATAMGTCTGCGCATTTCTGCACATGAGTATGAAGTCTTCTTCAAGGTTCTCAAGGGATCGATATCGATGAGAGTTGATTCGTTCCTACAGCGCAAAAAGAATTTGTTATTCTCAGTAACACAAGACCATGATAAATCAAAAATAACATCTTTTTGTAAAGGAAAGGGGTGGAAGATGAGCCTTTTAAACAATGTGTTTTGATCAAATTAATCTTTAAGGGGATTTCATTTTGAGCCATGCTAGAGTCCTGTTGGATCGCTATAGACCATCTCGGCTTGGGCGCGCTCAGGCGTAATGTTTTCTCATTTCAGACCACGTGTCATTCCCTAGAGTATCATTTCTTTGTTTAAAGSTTGCGCATAAGAAGGAACACGAATTTACGCTCGGTTACATTAAACACATTAATATGGGTACAACTCAAATAARAAATCTTATTCTCAAGAGAATGACACGCGGTCCGAAATGGGAAAATATAACACACAAGGTAAAGAGGGTCCTACACTAAACGGAATAAAACGATTTTTTTTATCTCGATTTATCCCCTAGGCGGTAGATTTTTGGTTCTACTAAAAAAGTTTAGACAAGTGAAATAGCAATAGTCCCCTTCACAGTTCCGGGCGCCATCTTGAAAGGTAGCCGTGCCTTTGCATCAAAGCGAGACGAACGGTGAGCTTGYAATGATAGAGACTTGTGAGTAATTTCTTTCAARATGGCGCAGGGAACTGTGAAGGGGACTATTGCATTTGATATTAGTCCTGCATTATATTATATATACTTACTCTAATCTTTCGAATGTCTACTGGTTGTTTGATTATCTGGTAGTAGTCAGGAAGATCTTTCTTGGTTGGAAGAACCATGAACGCCTCGGCAAGGTTTCGTCCACTCTCGCTGTACGTGATAACAGCATTAGATCAYGTAGTAAAATTTATTTCAAAAACTATCCGAGTACCCATTCAAACCCATTTGGTTTGGTTTGATTTTGTACCAGCCGATCTAGCTTGAATGCATGGTAAACATTTTACCTTTCCTCACTTTTATGAGTTTAACACTCGTTGGGTACCCCTGATTGAGTTTACTGACTTAAACGCTAATCAMCACCGCAAGTACAACAGTGGTGAAGCTCAATGGGGTCAAACTGAAGGCAATTTAAGGCGCCTCTGGCAGCCGCTATACAGTACATGTATGACCCTGGAACACAGCTCTAACCAGYTTGAATTAGTTAGGGTTGGTTTTAGAGGGAAGAAACCGGAAAAATCCCGGAAGAGTCACAAAGAGAATAAACCAACTCAGCTCACATGGGGCAACTGGGAATAGATCTCTCTATCTTGTGCATAATTTTTTTTCCAATTTCAGACCACGTGTCATTCTCTTGATAATAATATTCTTTGTTTGAGTCGTATCCATATTCATGTGTCTTCTCATG